CCAGGCGGTGGGGCCCCCGGGAGCACAGACACACACACAGCTGGTCCCCAAGTTACAGAAGGTCCAGGTTAGAAGACGGGGAAATGGCTGCTCAGCCTGCAGCCGGGCCTGAGACGGCCGACCCCGGGCTCTGGGCTGCCGCCGCCACCATCCCGCCACCATCCCGCCACCATCCCGCCACCAGGCAGTGAGGTGTGGCTTCGCCCAAGTTACAGAAGGTCCAGGTTAGAAGACGGGGAAACGGATGCTCAGCCTGCAGCCGGGCCTGAGACGGCTGACCCCGGGCTCTGGGCTGCTGCCGCCACCATCCCGCCACCATCCCGCCACCATCGGGCCACCATCCCGCCACCAGGCAGTGAGGTGTGGCTTCATGCAAATCAGACGTGCCACCCGCCTGCCCGTCTTCCTGTCCAGCTGCAGCTCCTGCCCCCACAGGCAGTCCTCCCTGAGGGCCCCACAAGAAGGGACCCCCCTCCCACCCCTCCGCTCCCCGGGGTCTGCCTGGCCCCCTCACACGCTGTGTCTGCTCTACGTCTGGTTATTTGAGGCCACGGAGCTGGCGACTCGATGAGAGGGGTACCCCCTTCCCGGCCTGCCAGTCTCCTGCTGCCCTGCACCAGCCCCTTGTCAACCCAGTCCCCACGCCGGTGCCGGCTGAAGCATCCCGAAGGGCAGTGCGGCTCGCAGCTCCCGCTCAGCAGCCGTCCATGGCTCCCCAGCACCCCCAGCCGAAGGCCGCTCCACCCAGGTGGCCCTCGTCCTGGCTGCCACCAGCTCCTACCTCCCAACTTTGCTCCCACGCCTCACAGGGGCAGACGTGTCCTCTGGGCTGGGCACACTGCTCGGTCCCCTGCTTCCCTCACGAGGAGTCTCAGGGACCGCTCTGACCCTGCTCCTGACTCTCAGTGCCCCACAGAGCGAGTCCCAGCCCTCAGCCGCCTTGCGGGGCAGCCACGCCTCCGGAGGAAGCGGGACCTTCCCCTGTGGCTAGGGGAGCCTGGAAAGACCCTGCCCTCTCTCAGCCTCAGCCTTCTCCTCTGTGAAATGGGACGATACTGCTGACCTCAGTGAGCAGGGCTGGTGAGCAGGGGTGACGGGCCCTCTGCCCTCTACCTGGCAGACCTCATCTTCAGGCCCAGCTCCCCTGGCCCGCCCCCGCTCCCCGCCTGTGCCCTGACTTGCTGCCACCTCGGAGAGCCCCGGGCACGGCTCCTCCATCTCTCCGGCCTCTGAGGGCATCACCAAGGCCACAGCTTGAGGTCCCACCATCCCAGCAGGGCCAGGCTGAGCTGTGGCCACATCTCACCATGAGCCGTGTCCCGAGGGAGGTTCGGAGGGAGGCTTACCTGGTGGCAGGTGAGCACCAGGGCGGTCCACACGAAAACGCCCGAGATGCCGCGGGCCAGCGCACTGGTGAGGAACAGCTGGGGGGCGGCCTGCGAGCTGTTCCCCACGGGGTCCATCTGCAGCCCCGAGGGCTCCGTGGGCATGGCCGGCGGGGGGCTGGGCGGCAGCCAGGTTGCTGACACCTGGGAGGCACCTGAGGTGTCAGCCATCTGCAGGGGCAGGGAGGACACGGGGAGGAGAGAGCAAAGTGTCTGAAAGCAGCCCAGGGCCGGAGGGGAGGGCGGGCTCCCCCTCCAGGCAGCCCACACACGCTGGCGTGGGCCCATCGCTCCAGGGGAGCCTGGAGGACAGCCCTGCCCCCTTTCCCTGTCTCCCTCAGCCCCGGG